GTGGATGCTGGAGTTTAAGTAAATTTTGGAAAGGCAAGGAGTAGGTAATGATAGCAGAAGTAAAAAGCTACAAATACTTGGCCATAGCTTAGCCGTAAATTACTAAAAATCTAAGTGATACATGTGTGAAATATAAATTGCTCTAGTATATTTATTATGAGAATAAAGAACCCCCTATATGATAGTGTGTGTACACTTTAAAGTTCTAAGAGGCTTTTACAAAAATTTCTCTTCAGTGAGAATATCTGATAACACTAAATTAATTAGAGTAGTAATACTTTCATTAATATAACAAAGTTGTGAGTGCTTGCATAGTAGTTATTCTAGCATTCAAACCAAAAATAATAAAATATGCCAGACCTCTAAGTAGTTACCTTAATATTAAAAAAAAAAAAAAAAAAGTTATTTAAAAAATCAAAAAATATATTTTTTAAAATTCTATCTAAATTAAATAACTTTTTATTAATAAAATTTCTTTAAAATTTATATTTATTAAAGTAAAATCAAAATTAATTAATAAAAGTTATTTAATTTAACTCTTTTTGATAATTACTTGTATCAACTAGTTATCAAAAGCAAGTTGAAGACTCAAGACTAGAAGTTAATAACAACTAAAGTTTTCTTGATATAAACTGTTATTAACAAAGTCTTTAAATATAATATATTAAGAAAAAGTGTTTTGGATAGTTTCAAAGAAGTTAAACTTTTCTTCTGATTTCTAAAGTAAGCACCCTTTTGTATTTAGTATTCAAACTAAAGAAGTCTCTGAAAACAGCAAGTAGAAAAAAAATTTAAGTTTGTTTAGAGATGAAAAGCTATAATAAACTTTTAAAATAACACTTTTTAATTAAAAACTCAAAGACTATATTACTTTTCTGCTATTCTTTTTTTTTTAAATTTTTGACAAAAGTGAAAAATTTGGCTTATTCTCTTCAAAAGATTAGTATTGTTTACCACTTTTATAATGAAAAAGCTTATAGTATAATATAATAAATAAGGAATATAACAATATATGAAGTTATATTTTATATTAATTCAAATATTTTTGTTAAGAAAAAAATTTTTAAAAAGGATCTATAACCATTTAAAATCAACTCTTCCCGATAATCCTCTGGTCAATAACAACAAAAACTAAACTATAGCAAAACATATAGAAAAGTGACGAAGAAGATACTAAAACTTGGTCCTATAAGTAGAAGCAGCTTGTTGTCGACAAAGTCTAAGCATCTAGACATGAAACACCAAGAAGCGGGCATCAAAAGAATATGGACAGTTTTCTTTAGAATCAAGTTTTCTTTCTAGCAGACTCCCTAAAATATTCAGCATCCAAACCAGAAGGTTTATTCTAGGAACAAGTTTGTAAAAGTAGCCAATGTGCACTCTTAAGTAGTAGAAATGGAGAAGCTGAACTATATAATTGTAAAACTTATAAGAAGAACCTCATATACTCTCATTGGTCCACCACTTTTTTTCAAGAAAATTTTTATAAAAAGTAGGCATTTTAGCTTACCCCTTCTAAATGATCAACATCACATGTTAGCATTGTTTATCTCTCAAATCAGAATGTGACAACACATGTATACATGTGCCTCGAATGCAATAAATATCTGTACAAATGATGCTCTGAGACTCTGTTTCAACCTCTTTATCTTAAGCCGATTGATGAAGTTTTTCTTATTGGATTTTTACTTTTACATACTAGTTTAAAAAAAAATAGAAGTAGAGACTAATTTGTCTAGTCAGTATATAATTTTTCCAAGCCATCTACAAGCTTATAACCATGGCATTAAGATTAGCAAATTTTCTTTTTTGTTTTTGTTTTTTTCAATATTCCTTTATCCTTTTTTTTCATATTTTGTATTCTTTTACCGTAGTCTCCTATACCTCTGTGTTTTTTTTTAGTTTGTTTCTTTTATTTTCTGATTTTGCTTCTTGATGAGCAGATAGCCACCAGCTAATAAACAACAGAAAAAAAGTTCTTAGTGAGTTAAAGACCTGAGGGAGACCAAGAGCTACTGAGACAAGTCGTACTTAGTGTATAAAATCACGTAGATAAGTTCCTCATTTAGTTGGATCTACTTTAGTTAGAGATAAATTACTTGTAATTTTGAATAATTTGATCCCAAATAAACAAAGGCAGGATAGCTGAATTAGAAAAAAAAAAAGGATCTATAAGCAGATAATCTAAATAAATTAATCTAAATGAATTAATTCATATGAAGCTTTCTATTCTGATACTTTGGTTTTATCTATAGATTTAATTGAAAAATTAATAAAAAAGTAATAAATATAAGATATACAAAATTCTGGAATTATATATATATAAATTTTAAACTTTATATATAAGCTATAGTGTATATTTTCTTATATACAATCAGATCTCCCTAAATGCATGCTGTACAGACAGGCACTAGATGTGCATTTAGGGAGGGTATGCATTTAGAGAATGATCAATAATATTGAAGATCTGGTATGATCACGTAATAAATTACTATTACGATAACTGCCCAGAAAAAATAGTAGCCAGATTATTTTGCCAACTTATATGAATCTTTTTATTCAATAAAAACAATGTATTTTTTTAATTATAGAGAATAAATAAATAAAAATAATAGTTAAAATAAGGTGATTTAAACAATTTATCTTAAATTCATCGAATCTTTATGCACTATTAAGTAGCAAGTTAAATTAAAGATTTTTATATATAATTAAGTTAATATGATTAAAAAATGAGTAGTATTATGTAATTATAATTTATTTTAAATACTAAAGTTTGTATTTATTTGCTAAATTAGCAAGAATAAATAAGAAGAATCACAAACTTAAAAAGCTTATTTAAGTGATTGATCAAGATCTTTAATACTCAACTGAATTAATGCTAATAAAACAAAATCATATACATATATTATTCAGAATCAATTCTGAGAACTGACTAGCTGTTTCCTTAAAACAATATTTGCTTAAATATATTATCCATTTCTGAATTGCTAAATTTTTATTTTACTAATTCCCGACCAAAATACTTGTGTTTTAAAGTTCATTGATAATAATTTTTCAACATTGTATAAATGCCTTAGTCTTAATCTTTCTACTTAACAACAGAAACTAAACAAAATAATATAAGCATCACTATATAATGGTAGTTATTTATAAAGAACTTTATACTCACAATAAATTAATACAAACAAGTATATACTCTCTCAATTAGCTAGATTAATGTAAATCAAATAAGTAAATGCTCACAAAATCACTTATTTTAATTAATTAAAAAGCTTTTCTACACTCACCATCCAAATTAACATGAATAATAAGAGGCACTAAATTACTATACAATTTTAGCGATGTAACTAATATCATGTTTAGTTCGAGTTATTATATTTTATTGTTTAAACGAGTTGTATTGCTTGTAAAAATATAATGCACTTTATTTTGTGAATTCAATATGATAAATATTCTCAAAATCAAAGCGAAAGTAAAATGAAAGTCAAAGTGAAAGTCAAAACGAAAGCCATAATGAAAGTCAAAACAGAAGTTAAACTGAAAATCAAAATGAAAGTCAAAACGAAAGTCAAAACAAAAGTCAAAGTGAAAATCAAAGTAAAAGTCAAAGTGAAAATCAAAGTAAAAATCAAAGTTAAAGTCAAATAAAAGTCAAAGTGAAAGTAAATTGAAAGTTAAAGTCAAAGTAAAAGTCAAAGTCAAGACAAAGGTTAAACAAAAATCAAAACGAAATATTATTTCTAGAAAAAAATTCAGCTACTATTTTTTGAGAGACACTATATAAGCTCTATTACGATATTGCTGTATTCACTTATCAGTTATATATACGATCTCTAATTTTTATTTAATATCGATATAAAAAATGTTTTTTATATGAAAAAGAAAAAAATTTAAAATGTTAGGTTGGTTAGTCAAATAAAACCAACCTGGCAACTATAAGTTCTAATCAAACTTAAGTATTTTTTATTTTAGTTTATTTGAGCAAACAACTAGATTCTCAATTACTAATATGGCACCTTTTGTTTCACCAGGTATTCTCATTCTAGTAAAGATTTTTACTCAAGAAACTGTCTGTATGCCAAAGAGAATCGATGATAACTTGTTTATAAAAATCATTCTGAAACTTCCTTGCTGTTTACACAAATTCAACAAAGCAACATCATGTTCTAATCGTGCTACTTCATTGAGATCTTGCTGCAAAAAATATTGGTCTAGTAAATCTAAAGCGTTTAATGCTTTTTGGTGGGTAATAATTCGCATTTCAGTACTATTATCTTTATCATCGTCACTTCCTTCATTTTCAGTGACTTCAGACTCCTAGTGGGTAATTAGATTTACTATTTCTTGGTCATCCAACACTTTTTCTATATCTTCTTCATCTGTATAATTAATATATTCTAATACATTCATTCTATTTTAGAGATGAAGTGCTTCAATATCTTCCTCTAGCTTATATATTAATGCATTCTCATTTTCAACAACTATAGCAACAGCAATTTCTTCATTACTATTTGGAAGGATCCTTGTATAGTAAAAGCAATTATTTATTGTAGTTGATAATATTTCATTCTATGCATATACAACAAACTGGGTGGTACCAAAAACATCGAGCTTCTTATCTTCTTTTTCAAATTCATATCTTTCAAGTAACCATTTTACAAAATGACTTTGGTAGTGGCATTTAAAAGATATAATGATATCAGCATCCATTAGTTGTATAAGTGATGTTGTGTTTTTAGGAAAAAAATAAATAATTGTATTATATAATTTTAATTGGCTAACAGAATGGCTTGTTGCATTATCTAGTAAAAGGATTACTTTGCGACCAGCCATCTTTTGATCAAATGATTTAAGCTATCGTTGAAATATTATAGTTATTATTCATGCTTTACCACTTGATTCGTATGTAATATTGAGGCTCTTGCATTTGATTTCTTTAAAGCAGTGGGGTTAGAATATTTCTCAATAACAAGAGGTTTCATTTTGTGCAATTCATTTGCATTAGCACAAAAAGCTATAGTTAAACGTTCTTTATTTTTCTTTTTTCTCTTAAGACTTTTAGTTGCTAATGTGGAATCTGGCTCAAGACTAAAAAAAAAAAAAAAAGTCTATAAATGCAAGTTATGAACAATAATAATATAGCTTATTTATACCGATAGAATATCCCTGTTTCATCCATGTTATATACATCCTTTAATTCGTATTCTTTTAACAATTCTCTTAATTGAGGGATAGCAAGAGCAACAGCATATGATCTGCAGAGGCTTCTTCGCCATGCTTTGTTATATGCATTATGTCATTTTGTTTTTTGAACTTGGCCAACCAGCCATTTGAGAACTTGAGACTATTATCAGGTATATTCAATATTTTAGCAAAGGCTTTTGCCTTTTCTATTAAAATTGCATCAGTAATTGGTATTTTTTCTTAGTTTCGAAGAACCTATTCATACAATATATTTTTAAGTTCTGGAAATTAAACAGTTTTTTGTCTTTTTGTTATAGAGTTCTCTCCAACATCTTCCTTATTTTTGATTAAGTAACTGATTGTATTTGGATAGATGTCAAGATTATATTCTTTTTTTATCAATTGAACAAGCTCAACATTACTAGTTTTAGGTTTTTACTTTTAAATTCGATAATTTCTCTTCTTTGTTTATTAGTAAAGATAACTTCATTTTTTGAAGACATCCTTTTGCTAAAGATATATATACTTCAATTTTATTTATATTAAATTTTTATAATTTTTAGAAACTATATATTAATTATATACTTTAAAATTTACTATTATACTAGTGAAATAAAAAATTATCAAATTGTAGTTTTAAAAATAAACTTTGTATTATTAATAATATTGATTTGGAAAGTAATTTAAGGCTTATTGTAATGTTATTATAAGCATCGGCTGATTTTAGTCATAACTAATAATCAATTACTATATTTATTAATTTCAGATACAAGAGAAGGTAATCCATAACAAAGTTTTAAAAGTCTAGTTAGTTTTTTATTTTCAAGTTTTTAAAATCTGGTTCAGCAAGAGTTATAAAAAGAACTGTACGTATATGATATAATTGTTGAATGCATTCTAGCATTAATAGTGCTAGATATCAAACTTTATTAGAGAGTTATAGTATATATCAGTGCATTTGATATATAGTTGAAGAGATATATAGCATATATCAATACATTTTAATATATAATTGAAAGAGATATATAGCATACATCAGTGTGATTAATGTATAATTGATAGAGATATATTAATATAGCATACATCAGTATATTTGATGTATAATTGGCATTAGCCAGTAGTTTTCCATCCACATAAATGCAGGCCAGCTGTTAGCAAGAAGCTTTGTAGTCACATAATCTTAGCTAATAGTTTCTCACCTGAATAATATAGGCTAGCTGTAAAAAAATATTTAAGCTGCCACAAAATAGCAGGATTATACTGAGAGATAGTAGGGCAGGATGCAAAATTGATTTGTTTCTTGAAAAAGCTGTTGTTGTGCCACCCTTGCAGCTCTTCTATTTTATATTTGTATGATATTGTTATATGTTTTTTGCTAAATTTAGTTATATTAGTATTTATGCTATAAGCTTCTAAATTAGTAACTTCGTTAAATTATACTTTTTCACCCTTACATATACCGGATTCTCTTGTTAAAACTGGGATCACCCCATGTAATCGTTGCTTGCTAGTGCATCACTGCTTAGCAGTTTTTTCGATCTGTTGACCTATTGTCAACTTGAATGAAAACTAAACAATTATTTTGTAGGCTTTTAATTATATTGAAAGTGATAATTCTTTTTGAATTAATAATTTCTTATGAAAATTACTAATTAGAAGATTTTCTTTTTATAATACTTTATATAAATATCTGAATGCAAATTATTAATCATAGATAGCTTTTTAAAATCTTATATCGCTTGTAACAAATACAAAGTATATATATTTATATTCAGATATTAAATTAGATATTTAAATAAATCGTTTATTTAATATTTTTTTAGCCTGATTTAAAATAATGTTTTTTCAATTTTTCGAATCATAACTTTGAAATGTATTCAGAAAGATATTTATTTAGTTTATCTTTGATTATTGATTATATTAATGTAAAAGATGAATATCTTATTCATATATGGTGATTATATAATAATAATTATCTGATATAATTATTTAAGCTATTTAATATCATATTGTTACTCATAAATCGGTAATTGTTATAGTCTATATTAATAAACTAAATAAATTTTAAACTGTTTATTTAGAAAACCAAAAAAGATTATCTATTTGATTTGCTATATTTTTAAATATCTGTAGGCTTATTGTAAATTGTCGAATAAATTACACTGAGTTTGTTACTTTAAATATATGTAAAACTTAATTCAGACCTAGGGATTTGCTATACGGAGGTGTGAAAAAATATATAATTGCATAATAACTTGTATTTTATATATTTAGAAGCTAATAGATTATCTAAATATTTGTTAAATTATCCAATTATTCACAAATTAAAAATAGTAAATATTTGAATACAATTTGTGTAATATATTTTGAATACTGAATTCTGATTGGCTACGTGCATTTAGAGAGGGTGCTTTATATAAAAAATCTTTTGAGTAAACATGTATTTGCAAAATATAGAACGTGCACTTAGCACTAATAATTTCATACAGCCAAGACAAAAATGTGCATTTAGAGAGGTATTGCATTTATGGAGGTTGCATTTAGGTCTGACTGTAATTAGATAGTACTGACAAGATGAGTAGTTGCTAGCCAATAATCAAAGAAAAATAAATCTTTAATAAGTTAAGAATCTAGAAGGAGGTCAAAGACTACTGAAGCAGGTTGCACTTGGGCGAAAGCCAGGAGTGAGTAACTAGTTTGGTTAGATTAGCAATAGCTGTAAATAAAAATATATAATTCTTAAATAGCTTAATTTCAAATAAACAGAGACAGGATTACTGAATTATAAAAAAAAGAAACTAAAAATATTTTGATTAGAAAAATATTTTTTATTTAATATACAAAATTAATTAGTTGGATGTGGCGACTTAGTGAAGTAGTGAAGTTGTCGCACCCCCAAGTAGCAGGAAAAGAGTTCAAATCCTACCAGCGATGAAAAATTTGAATTTTCAATATAGTGTTACGGCAACTGTAGGTGTAAGGGCGGCTCGACATCTGTAACTAGGTCATACCAGCTTGTACTAGGAGACTGTGAAACAATAGTATAATGTATGAGTTATACGAAACCCGAGTGAAGCAGTCGTGTAAATCTGAGGTTGGCGCATATGAAAGCCTGCTTGGCAAGACCTGAGTAAAGAGGTAGCACAGATCTTTGATAGTACTATATAAAGGATTATCAACCAGGAAACTGAAGAACTGAATAGAACTGAAGTGTTTGGCAAGGCACTTCACTAACTAGGCTACTAGGGAGTAACCGAAGGAAAAGGACCCAACCAAGAGGACCAAGAGCAGGTCACAGCCCTTCCGGGCCATCTGGATTGGAAGTTTGGAACAATAGATATATGGCGGATAGTCTGTATAGTGGATGCTGGAGTCTGGGTGAACTCTATAAAGACGTAATAGGTAATAGTAGCGGCTTCAGCTTGCAAGTACTTGGTCTCGGCCTAGGTATAAGTTACCGAAGTAGATTAGGTAATACAGTAATAGTGGGTACTGGACTGCTCTAGCAGATGATGCTCTCGAAGATGAATCGGTAATGCTGATAGTCTTATAGGTGGCATGCAATTATTCTGGAACTTGAACTGACTTATATATCACATGTTCTGGATGAGATTAGATGGATTGGCATAGGAAACTCAGATTAGAGGGTTTAATTAGATAATTCAAGTAATAGTGGGTTATAGATACAGCATCTAGTATAGAACCTAGCAATAGGTAGATACTTAATTAGGTGT